AAACTGCAAATATACACACATATTTAATTATATGCAGTATATACGCATGTAGGAAGTACTCAAGTAAAAATCCATTCTGAATTCTGTGCAGACATTCAGTACAAGGCATAGTTTGTTAACCCTGTTTCTAAAGGATGAAAGAGAAAATAATTTCTAATGAGCATAATATCTAATTTACACTTTTTATTTTGCTTCTCTGAAAGTGGCTGTAACGGAGGAATATGTTTTTCTCCACACTAGGTTGTTTTTATTTTATTTGAAGTTTTTAAAATCTTTGTAAGGATTCCTCAGAGTCTACCTTTCCAGAAAAATGTCAGATCTGGGCTACAGAAGTTACTTTTTTTGAAAAGTCTATGACAGGAAGCCAAGAGTCCAAAACAGAGGGATGGATTTTTCTCTGCTCTATAAGATTAAAGTTAACTGAAGCTTAAAAGAGCCTGCATGCCCTTTGTGTCCTAGGCAGATGATGGCCAGAATATAGCATTACAGGATTTTCACAGATAATAACATCAATCCACTCACATCCTGGATGAATCTCTGTTTGGATTCCACCCAGATCAAAGAAATCGCAAGTCCATTTCATTCAGAATGATACCTATAGATGCATACACAACACTCTGCAGTGTCTTGGAAGTTGGCTTTTTTTCTTCTTTGCTTTTTTTCCTCTTGTTTTTCAAGTGAAATAACAAAAAATGTAATTCTATTTAACTCTGTTTAAAACCCCAAGAAGATGTCAGTAGCGAGAAATGGGGGAACGGGCCCTAGGGGGATAAGGCATGACACAAGAGATTAAGAAGATGTATCCCTGCCATCGAAATTCCACGATTGTTGACAGGTAACCCTTCACCTATGACACAGATGTTGTATATTCCTACTTCCTGGTCCAGATGTTGCAGCCCTGGCTCAGCAAGCAGAGGGGTTTCTGCTGAGTGCAGGTTCAAGCTGAAGTCCAGGGATCACTGTTTTGACTGCCGACTGTGCCAGCTGCACCTGGGACTCTCCATGCTGAGAGGGCACAAGGGGCAGAAGCCACAACAGCACACGTCTGTGAGCTTGCTATGGTGCCAGCGAGACCCGGAGCGCCTGTGTTAATTAAAAGGGGTGTGTTTTTTGACGAAAAACAGGGATAGTCACCCCTCTCATACAGCTGTAGATACTGTACAAGCAGTACAGCAGAACTGACCATTTGCAAATGCAAAACCAAACAAGAGACATTTTAACTCTGAGAAAAGGCCCTGAGTGATCCCATCTCGTTAGTGCTTAAAGAAAAGACACCGCATGCAAAGTTTCTGTATACTTCTACATTCAAAACATCTAAATGACCCGCAGAAAAGCTCTCCAAATTTGATTTCTTTCACAATACAAAGAGCTGCTCTCGGAAGGGATATTTTTTCCACATTTATTAAGTTGATTATAGGCCAAACTAAAGAAGAAGGAGTTTATCCAATTTATGAATCCGATCTAATACTACATAACTGCATTCAATTCAGCTTCTAATAAAAACTCGGGCAGATACAGCTGCCCAGAATCATGTTAAAATAAGTGGGATGAAGTAACAATGTCATCAGCTGGAAATTAGGCAGGGTATAAATTGTTTTACCTACATTCAATTTGAGTCAACACCAGCACTGAGCAGGTTAGGCTTGTGGCCACACATATTAGTGGAAAAGCGGTATGAAAGTAAAGTTCATAATTGGTTATTGAACTCATGAAATAACATGATGGTGGAATTCTAGAGGTGTAATATTGTTGACAAGCTTTAATAACTCACAGCAGTAACCTACTAAATTATCAAAAATCAATGCTAACAAGACTTTATTGTTTCCCTTTTGCAGTTTCTCATACAATTCAAGTATTTCTCAGACAATGTAGCACTTTCTATAGTACTTTCTGGCAGTCATGCTGTGTCTGTCTAACCATGCAGCATCAGACACGTTCTCCAGCCAGTCATCCGTATCTCTTCAGATCAAAGTCCGGCAAGCCTGAAGACTTCAGTGGATGCACAGTGTGGAAGGAGCACAGGACGATACTCTATGAGTCCTGTTGCTCCTACATTGCACACACACAGCTGTCAGAATGTCCTGAGAGGCTGGAGGATCACTTAATGAAAAACGTGGACAAGCATGCATTACAAGGACATAAAATATTAACTTGCTGTTTATGAAACATCTGAATGAATTCTCCTTTAACTCTTTGCTGACTACAATCTCTTACCTAATTAAATTTTAAACTGAGCCCTTCCTTTCCAGTGAAAAGGATTTTAGGCTGTTCAGTTCTGCACAATTTTACATCCGAAAATTGATGTACAGGCTAGAGGTTCATCTTCAAAATGTTTTGCTCAAACAAGGGCTTTCAAGTTCCAAGTCAAAACTACCCTGATTGAGGAAACATTGGTGAGAAGAGAAACAGTCCAGCCAAGAGAGCAAAGGGTTAAAAAACCTGTCTAAGAACTATCAAGCCTCGTGTTTTCTGGCATTCCAGTGGAGCAGAGAAAGGTTTACAAGGCAATAAACTTCTCTCCCACACAGAAAGAAAGTGGAAAAGTCAGTTCAGAAAAGTATAAGTCCTGATTATCATTATTTTACTGTAGGACAGTAAATAAGATCTTTATTTTTAAATTATTATCCATTATGATTTTATTTTAAATCTTGCAGCCATGTACTCCTACTATTGATAAAAATCTTACAAAGATTTTCCTTTGACCTTCAGTAAATTACATTCCATTTCTTCGATATGACAGAAGGTAAATATATTCAATTCATTACTACATTTTAGATGATGAATACTGTATATCCAGCTATGAAACCTATGTACAATAACAATGATTAACATATAGGTGGCTGAATGTCTCTTATTATTCTGAGAGATACAAAACAGAGACAGGTTAATGTGTGGGTGGAAACATTGATTATTTCAATTCCAGTCCTTCAGTTAGAGAAATTTTTACATTAAAAATTAATCATGCAAGCTTTTGTTTCTTACAAACAGGTGGTTAGGCTCTGTCAGAGCTAAATGGGGCATAGAGAAAATGTACATAGAACAATTTAATAAGCTAATTTCTAAAAACAGTAACTCACTAATAGTACCGATATTTGTAAAATGTAATTGAGAGTTTTCCTCCTTTTTTCTTTAAAGGAAAAAATGTTTTGTTCTCTAGGAGAATTAGTTGCTCACAGGAGAGTTTACATTGATCTCAAATGATCCCAACCTCATGCTCTAAGCAAGCTAGCCAACAAGGAACAAAATCTCTAACATGCTGAGAGACATTCCTGTGTTGATATCTGCTGGGATCTTCTTGAAATCCATTTCTCCTTTGGGACTCTCTGTCCTAGGCTCTCCAACCCTGGTCCTGGAGAGCCCCAGTGTAGCAGGATCTGTAAGCCACCATTAAGTCACCAGTTTCTAACGAGATATTAATTTTTGTGAGAAGGTAAACAGGTGAATTGTCAAAATAAGTAATTTACAGATCATTTATGACTGTAATGTAAATACTCTTCAGCCCTAAAGGACCAGAGTTCTCTTAATTGTGAGCACATTACTTGTGTCATTCATAAACAGCTTACAGGAGTTGCCAATCTTAAGAAATAGGTGTCCTACAGTACAAAACTAACTGGATTGGGGCTCTCCAGCATCATGGGATTAGGGGACCCAAGATTCAAGCAAACTCAAAGGGGCTTCCAAAATCAGAAACTGCACTCTAATTCAAAAACCAGTAGTTGTGCAAGAATCAGCAGATTCTGACGGGTGTACTGCTCTTTCTAACCACAATGCATAGAGCTGGGCACTGGCTACTCCTGAAAAAGCCAGCATATCTGGTCTCAAGAAGGAATTAGGACATCATGGCTATTTTCATGTATACCCATCTGAAGATGTAACTTTTTAAGTTGCTTAAATTGGACAATTTACATAGTTAACAGCTGAAAAGTAATATGAATCCATGACAGAAAATGAATAGGACTTAAGGGAATGAAATGACTGATTAATATGTACTTGGAGCTTGAGAAAAAAAATGACACAAAAAATAGTAACCAAAATGTAATCAGAAATGGGTCTTAGAAAAAACATTTGTTTTTTTTGTTGATTTTTTGCCCTTTATCCTATGTTAAGTTATGGAATGACAGATGGTAGCAATTTCTGTCTTTCCCAGAGTGATGCAATGTGTAATTACAGACCAACAAATTGACCTACTGCAAAGGATTTCACATATAAAAACCGTCACATGCAGCAAATATTTTTATAGGTTGGATTTTGTATTGTGCTTGGCATCTTCACCACAGTACTAACCCTCACTTCAGCATGAGGAAAAATCAAATTTCCTCTCCTGCAGCTAAGACACCTGTTCATCCAGGGCAGATCTTTGGTGCTGGAATTTCAATTCTAAAAAAAAGTGGGGCTTGCTGTGTGCATCCTCATGTTCCTGAGACAGGTGAGTCCAGCCCACTGTTAGCCCAATGCCCTTGTATACCTGTCACCAGATGTGCCAGAGAGGAGCCACATGATCTCTACAGGCTTGTACAGTACAGTACGTAACTGTTTCCGGGTTGGACACTTCCACACCAAAACTAGGAAGAGCAAACTGCAACAAAGCCTTTCACACACAGCATCCAAAACCAAATAAAAAGCTTTAAAAAAATGGCATTGAAGGGATATTTTATATAATGTAAATAAATGATCCGACATATTTAATCCATATTATTTAATCCTTATTGACAATTACTGCTTTGACTTGTACAACAAAGCGAAATGTCTTCCTTTTCACACTGACTTTTCCATCAATCACCTCACAATAGCTTGCATGGTGTCAGCGCCAGCGCATTCTGCACAGTAATTTCAGCACATTCCAGAACACGTGTTGCAATGCACCCTAAAGCTCACATCAATGGTCTAATCTGTCAAAGGTTTACATTTACTGCTCTTGCAATTTAGAAAAGAGAGGGTCTGTCTGTCCGACCCTACGCAGGGTCGTCCATGGAAAGCACTGACAGGAGACCGTACTGTACCTTGCACAGGAAGGTGATGTTGAAGCCGAAGGTCTGTGCGTTGCGAGAGCCAGCATTCATGTAATTCCCCACCAGTAGCACCAGCTCCAACAGGCGGCTAAACCCTTCGCTCTTCTTCACCTCCTCGCAGGCGAACGTCACGTTCATGATGTCGGGGCGGATGTTGTTGACCTGCTCTTCAAAGGTCAGCTTGAACAGGATGCCGTTGAGCCGCGACCTCAGCATCTTCACCGAGCTCATCTGGAGAACGAGATCAGGAGGACAAGGCATCACTGTGGACACTGAGCGCTGAACACCATCGCCGCCACTGAGGACAGAAACAACTAACAGTGGGCAAGAAAAAGCAAATAACCACAGACTCCTGACACTTTTCAAGAGACGCTTGCTTAGAAAGAGATACATGAACTTCAGAATGAATATTTTAATAACCCAGTCAGATAAGACAGAAACATTTAACTTCATGTGGTTTTACAATACATTGTAAGCGGTCTCTTCATTCCAAAAGAGTCACACTGATACTGACTTGTATTCCAACACTATTACAGCCTTAATAAGAGATCTCCCTATGTTTAAATTGAATTTGGCTTTTAAGTGGGTCTGTCACAAGAAATAAGGCAGCACATAACTCTTGACAAAACCTTTCTCTTGTTAGAAAATCACAGTTTCATACCGTTCACTTGCTCATTTGCCCACAGTGATATTGAATAAAAAAGTAAGTGCCACTGCTTGATAGCAAAGCCTACAGTTTGAACACAATCAATCCTTTCATATTTACGAGACATCCTCCAACACAAAATAGTCACAGCTTTTAGGTGCAAGCCACTGAAAAATATGGAGCTAACATTCTCAACAGTTTTGTGTGAAGATTCACAGACATGAATTATCACAGATTGTATGTTCTTAAATTGGGAAATGTTGTATACATCTGATATACATCTTTGATGTTTATTTAGGTGTGCATTTATTATCCATCCTAAAGGTGAAAATTAGTCTTTGGCATCATCATAAAAAACTACAAAAAAACAACACCCACCATAAATTTACATTAAAAACAAACTTGTATGGATTCGGATACAATGCATGAAAAGATTAATTTCTGTTGAAGGGTGGGGGATATGAAATCTGAAACATAAGCAGTTATACAACCAAACCATTAACTGCATCTGTACTTATTACAGGTCTGTACAGTCATACAGAAAAGATAGGATGGATAAACAGAAAGCATGTTGGGCAAGAAACAGAATTCAGAAGTGCTTTGAAGCAAAGAGATCTAAGAGCTTTTTCACCTGTCCCATGTGACAATTCAATATATAACTGAGAAGACCTGAAACACTAACCGAAAGTCCTCTTTCACCTGTGAGCCGCAGGGCTGGAGGATTGAAATCACACTGAGGAACTTAAGAAACTACAAGAAAATAATAAATCAACAACACCGAGTTCTGTGTCTGTTCTCATGTCATGTGCAGTGAAGTCGGAATTTCATATGCACTGTACAGCTTGTTGCATAATGCACTGCTCGGGGGCTGCCCTGGGACCCTGGTCATGATGTCACATTATACAAGAGATTTAGCCATGTTATGAGTCTGTTGTCTATCAAAATAGCATTGTGTGCCTTTCATTTCTTTATTTGATTCTCACTATATTAAAAAATAATAAAAAAGAGCATTTCTGACAGCTTTAGCAAAAAGTATCTACAAGTGGCTTATTTCCCAGTGGAGCTGTGAGCAGCCCTGATAATGCGGTGTCTTTCCACTTGGCTGTATATTGCTCAGGATAATCTGTGCCTGTATCACAAAAGCATATCATTACACAAGAGGAACTGTGTACAGATCGGTATTAACAAACATAATTGATAGACACCTGCCTGCTTTTCAGGGCCTGATTCCAAAGGAGCATAGGGGAGTCACCCTAACCATCCCAGATGCTTTTTATTGAGCCACATTGTGCAAGAAAAGTTTTACTGTTTCAAGAAACGTATTGCTTCTTTTAAGTGTACAGTTAGACTTTCTACACAGAGATCATGAAGTACATTTATGGAAAATATTTTTTCAATGTATAAAATGAAATAATGATGAAAATGAAAATAATTCACAGGCCACAACTGAGTAGAACAGTTTTTTTTCTTGATAAACATTGTCAACACATGGACAAAGTAAAGTTGATTAACCAAAATAATTACTATACTAGACTGTTTTCTCTCAACTACATCAATATGGTATGTGCAGAAGATCATCACATTGCTATTCTATGTTTATATTATTATATTCTAAAGTGAATCAGTGAATCTGATATCTTTATTTGTCATTCATCAAAATGGTTAATCTGAGAAGGATGTGTCCAATTTAAATATTTTTATTGACAGTCATCTGTCAAGGAAAGAAAAAAAGGTAGCAGTTTTAACCTCCAAATCCAATTGCATGCATAATGATGTACTTTCCTTTACATCTAAATTACTAATAATAAGCAACATTCCCAACAGGGCAGCTATGCATTCTCATTCATTTCCTGATAACTGGCAATAAAGATAGCTGGGGATGGGAAGCTGTTATGTACCAATTCATCTTTTTGAAACGGTGTGTTCTCTGCTTCTGTTGCTAATGAATCTGTGTATTAGACCTCACCAGCACTGCACCAAATTCTGAAGCATTCAGGTCACCACATATTTTCAGCTGGAGTGTCTACTGCAATTTGACACATCTGCCACCAAAGGACCATTACCCTGTGTAAGGGCAATGGCAATGAGAGTGATTGCGATTAATTAGTGTTTGGCTGATGTTGTTATCCATAGCGACCTCTGTTCATGCCCACTTACACAGCTGGGCATTATACTCAAGATAAACTCATTATACTCATGTGAGTGAAGCACAGTATCTTGTACAAGGCTTAAGTACATCTGCAGTGCCCTACTCAGGTATTGGCAATGCTGCAATCAGTTTGTCCAGGTTTCAAGGCTGTTTCAGCTACAGCATCATAACACTGTTATGCACTTCATGTTTAAACACAGCAATGGAATGCAATGGAAGAACGTTTTTAACGACTGGAAGTGTCTGCTGTTTGTTGCCTTAAAAATTCTCCCTAATTAGGCAGCATGAGGTCACTTCCTTATTTGTGTGTGATGTTTTGTGCACCCCTTCTTTTCCTTCTGAAAAAAAAAACACTGCAGCTTTAAAACCACAAGTCCCCTAATCACACTCTGTATGAAAATCAAGTTCAGCTTCTTTATTATTTATCAAAAATCACTGGCACTGTCAGTCACAACAAGGCTACCAGATTTGACTTGTCATAAAAAATGCCCTTTATATTCTTGGCCTTTTAATTATACATCACTGCGTCTTTTTATATATTGAATAGCGCTGATACTGCAGAGGGCCTGAAGGCAGTCTTTCTTTTTTTTTAATGGTTCTCTTCTTAATTTCCTGATTTTCTTCCCTCTACAATCTCTAATAAAGATTTAAAGGAATAGAAAGAAATTGCTCTGCAGCCCCATGGAGATGTGGATCTGGTGTCAAAGCAAAGAGGAGGAAAGGGAAGGAAAAAAATCAATACGCAATTGAAGCGCCTTTCCCTTTCTCTCTCAGTGGCAGCTGACAATTCCCCAGAGACAGGGAGCTCGCTGGTGTACTTACCACGATTCCGAACTGCTCCGACTCGCACAGCTCCTCGTACTCGCTCTTCAGCTCCGCCAGGGCGCTCAGCTCCTTCTGCTCCGGCAGGTTGTTGATCAGGTTCTGTAAACACAGACGCTCACATCAGCTACTATGTCCCCTTCCTCATGAAAAAGGTGCTACGGAGCAACAGCGTTTCAAAGCACAGGTTTGCACAACTGAGGCTTGACAGAGTGAAGGGCCCTTCTTATTAATATTCTCATTGCTATTGTGCCAGTTATTTATGAAGGATACCAGGATGAGGTTAGAAAAAGCTGCTTTACCCTCATTTTAAAAATAGTGCTCCACAAACACTCCACAAGCACTTTTTTGTGTGTCATGTAAGAACACTACAGTTGAGCTTTATACATGAACCTTGGTGGTATTTAATTAAATTAGTATCTTTGCATAAGGAACTGCCAGTCGAGAGGAAGAAGGCAGGATCATGCTTGGGGGAAAACACACAGCGAGGGGAGGTTTGCAGGTGTGGTCTACTGGTGACCAGCTAGTGGTACAATATATTAAGCACTGTGCATGCAGCCCAAACAGCCATCAGGTTTTGTGTTGCTGGAGTAATGTAAAGCAGGGTCTGGGTTACTAAATCACACAGCCCCTCCACCCCAACACACACTAAGCATGGAGGCATGAATGAAAATGCTTGTGCCGCAGATTTAATATCCTAAGTGGCCAGTGCTGATAAAATGACACTGATTAACAGCTTGGGATGTGTCAAAGATATGGATGTATTATTAATGTCCTAAGTAAATCAATTTCAAGAGAGATCACACAATGTTTCTAACTGTAGTTTATAATCATGGAGACACCGGTGTCACATTTTCTCACATGAGAAATACTCATTGCGTTATATAGCACTTGGTTATTACTACCATCCCCCTTCAAACAGCCTACAAAAGTGAAACAGCAATGACGTCATGTGAATGTTGTGAGCTTTGCACCAACAAAGTTGTGACATTGCTCTATTTAGTGGGATTTTGTTTTGACAAGGTGGAGGGAGAAGGGAGAGGTCGATGTGGTGTACCCACTTTCCACTTATCATAGGAAAAATGTGACTGCATGCCATGCCACTGCATCTCAAATGCAAAGGCACTTTATTAATGGCCCGCAGGGTTCCATATTCTAGAAACAGAGAGACTGTGTTGGGAAAGGCAGGAAAGTGGGGAACTGAGACTTGCGACTGTGTACACTAAAATAATAGTGTGCTTGTTATATTTTACTAGAAGAAGAATTTATATGTTACAGCTTAATAAGCCATTGTGCAACTACAATGGCATTCTTTAAAAGCAATTTCTTTCCTCTTTCATTACTTGCAAAGTTTTAATGCAGTCCCAGAGCATAAATGTTATTCAGTGTCCCAGGGTTGTCTTCATACTGTACTTCTCACACAGAGGAAAGGAGACAAGATTTATTTCAACAGGTCGCCAAAAACTCAACTGAAGAATGCCTCTCGGGGTGCTGCTCCAATACTGGAAGAGAGGAATTTCCATTCTATTTTTTGTTAGAAAGCAGGGTGTTCTAAGCACACAAGATGGCAATCATAATAGTATAATACTATAATAGTAATATAAACAAAACACTGGTAAGTAAAACATTAAATTCCATTGACTCTAACAAGAGCTTAGATTTTTCACTTTTCTAACTTTATCTGAGTGCTGTATTGTGTTACAAAATATGGGTTATGGAGAAAACAGCAAGGTTTTCAAAGTGACCCCAACTTTTACCTGATTTCAATTTCTTGGCCCATTCCAAGTGTTACTGAACTAAACATCACATTCCAACAGAAGTATTTCTAACAGAAAAAAACACGGCAAGTTACTACAGCATGTGGACCTTTAAGAATCATAATCCAGCTCTGCAATTATCTCAAGGAAAGACAGGGGGGAAAAACATAAAACTTTATTTTCTTTAAATGTTAATTGTGAACGTAAAGGTCAGTTAAGTAAACGTAACAAACCGTGGTGACCTTCTCTGGAAAAGCTAAGCCTCCCTTGTGCATTCACAGCTCCTCTCCTCTCATTAATTCCCTCTTATTTGGACGAGCAAAGGGAGCAGTCTGCGCTGCAGCTCCTGGTCACATGACCCGCTGCACACACTGTAGCTCTGCGACACTCTCCGGCAGATCATTAGACACCACAGAGTCACAGCCACAGCCCCAACAGGGGAGAGCGCAGGGTACAGGCCACAGCATCGCCATTCATTTACTAGAGACGCACTCATGTGCACATACAGTACATGCACATGCTGCATAATGTATATACAGTACACATGTATACTGAGGGGGTGTTAAAATGCAAAAAAAGAGTATTGGAACCAATAGCATTTGTTGCATTTTTAACTCCTCTCAGGATAAGCCCAATTTGAAGTAGAAAGTAGGATTTGAATTTTGACAAGTACAGAAACATATTGGATATTTCACATAACGGTAAAAGCAGAATGATTTTTTCACTAGTATCAAGGCAGGTGCTAGAAACAAGATAACTAAAGTTTTCTTTCTGGAGAAGAGAGTGCCCCTTGCAACTAGGAGTAAGGAATGTAACTACCCAGCATTGAGCAACAGAGATTCAGCAGCAGAATTCAACTGCTATTCTGATACTCCATGGGATTGTTTTTTCTTCTCTACTAGGAGTTGATATTCTTTTGTTCAAGGGAGAAGAATGAATGAATTACAGTAAGGGACAGGAAGAAACAGCCAAGAAGAAAGATACATGATTTATTATGAATAAAATTGCTTTTCTTTCTTTGACAGTATGCAATTAATTTTCCAAAGAAGAAGTAAACATGCATTTTCAATTGTAAGCATGTTAAACGCTAACATAACGTGACACTTTTGTCCTGTCAGTGGCTAAGCTGGTGGGAACACTCTCCCTCAATATCTTGTTTTGACAGCATAAACTAACAAAACAAGAAAAAAAAAACTTGTAATTCATTTAACTGTGTTTCTATCCTTTTAGAAATTCATTTTGTTCTCCACGCTTCACTGCGTTTCTTCTTCTTTTTTAATATTCAGTTCCTCGTACTGCAGAATTCTTTTGAGTTGGGAAAAACACCTCTCAATTGTGAACTCAACAAATCATCCCCATTCAGGGAAAAGGCAGAGAGCTGCTGAATATCAAAGGGTAGTCAAGACAGAGAATAAAGTGAAGGGGTGTGGAAGCCTGGGAGGAGTACGAGTTCAGAATTGGTAGACTGCTGAATCAATTGATTGATAGTTACAGGTAAGAAAAGCAACCAGAGAGGATGCAGGACTCTCCATGAGAAATCTGGAGACTGCTTAAAATGTTCGGATCATCCAGCGCAGAGAATCCGAGATCTGTGTACTGTATACTGTATGTGTGAGGAATTAAGAGTCCCTTCTCAGACCTGCTGCCTCAAATTACCGGCTGTGAAGAAACAGAGAACGCCCCGTCAGGGCTGGTTTCAATCAGGTCCAGTCAGTTTGGGTAGGAAGTTCAGTGCAAACTGGACTAATGACTCTTGCTTGTTTCTGTCCTCCTGTCAGAACATGAATCAGCAGCATCAGGCCAACACAGCGATCATGCCAACAGCTTCTGCCCTGCAGTGACCACCTTCCCTCCCTTCTTCCTCTCCATTTCTCTTTTGTTTGCATTAGTCCAATCCTGCATCATTTTTCTTTTAAACACTGACTCACTTTGACTATTCACCCCATTACGTTTACAGCAGATTTTTTTTTAATTTCATGTAAAGAAACCATCTACAATGAAGCACTGTAGCTGCTTGTTGGGAATGTTGACTTACAAATGCATTAAATTTTTTTTAAAAAGATCCGCTTCTTTTTTGTGTTCATAACATTTCTGTCAGTGACCCCCTATTAATACCTACAGTAGTGATGCTACTGTACATCTCTGATATTGCTGCAGAGTCTCCGACTTTCATCCGACGCTATCCTATCTTCTGCGGTAATGACTTTTATCTGTGCAGCAACAAGAGCACCAGCTTAAGGGCTAGAGGACTCCATTTCAGCCTACCTGTATGCAACACTTAATCTCAGTATTCAGCAGAAGAGAAGGAAATTCTGCCTCTGTGTGTCGTGCCTGTAACAATATCCTGCTCTGTTCCTCTGACTGTACTGTTAATGTCAAGAGATGATGTACGTGACACAAGTCGATGCAATGAAAATAAAATCAGCAGCTAACAGACTGGGAGCCGCATAATTCATTTGGACACGAACCTTCGGCTGACGGCGGAGAAAATGCCTGTCAATGGTTGGAATCTAAATGCTTTTATTTTGCACCCCACAAGTCTAGCATTTCACCAATTAGGCTGTCAAAAGGGTTCTAATTTCTGTTCCTGCTCTATCTACATTTCAATATGTGCTTTCTTCAAATTAGAGGTTCGCCATACTGTACCACAGTTTGTCAGAGTTGGGAAAGACGTAACAATCGCACTCATGAGTCATCAATTCACATTAAGAGGGCTTGATAATTGGGTGCCATCAGGTACAAAGAATGGAAACAGACTTTTATGGATGTTCTTCAACAGATGAGATGGGACAGCGGTCCCTTTTCAATTTATCTAGCTTCTGGCAGGAGCTCGGAATGTACCGTCTCCAATCTTGATATTTAAACAGGGCAGGCAAAGTAAGTGCCAGCCTGCTTCTATAAAAAAAGGAAACAACTCACAAGAAACGAACTAATTACCTAATCAATTAAAAGAGCCCAATATGTAGATGTAACAACTAAGAATAAAACATTTTGGGATTGGTCTGAAACATTTATCTTTGAACACTTGTAAATCTAACTTTAAATCCTCAGTGCAGCCCTAACACTGTCACTGACTCTACCATGAAACACCAGAACCCTCATTCCAGTCCAAGCACTACTCTCACCCTGAACACCAGCACCATTTTGTAATCTCAGCCAGATCTCTCATTACCACAGTTGACAAGAAACCAACAACTGAGCAAAAGCTTTGCCCCAGCCTTGCCCTCTAACCCAGGCTGGAGTCAGAACCAAACCCCTAAGCCAAAAGGCTAATCGGGAATCTCACTGATAGCCCAACCATAGTCTTGATCCTAGCCCTGGCTAAAAAATCTAAAAAATAATCTT